TGTTGGGGCACCATGCCCTGTCTCCAATGTCCACCCTCATCATTCCCTGGGGATCTTGCTACACCCCTCCCCTGCTGTTCCACTGCACTCCCCCAGTGCTTTGCCTCAGTGTGGCAGGGTCAGATCAGGCGCAATTCCCACACTGTGTCACTGGTGTTGTCCCCCGCAGGGCTCCATGTGGTAATTCTATTGATAGTTTCATGGTATAGAATTTAAAATACTGCATAGAAAAAGTATACATATTGTAGAGCTGATTTTTAGACTGAAATGCATGGATTGTTGACCTGTTCAGATTTAAAACTCAAACGACTGGACACCGTACAAATAATGAGTGTTGGGGCTGGGGCATACCTTTCAATAGCATTTATTAATGTAGACTTGTGCCTGTCAGCCTAACGCATCATAATAAAACAAGAGGTTATGAAGGTAGCAAATATATGGTAGTCTTAGGTTGCTAGTTTTGGGGCACCCTCAAAGCAAGAGATTTGAGCCAAAGTCCAATGACTTCCATCGCTTTGTTTCTTTTCACACTAGGACATTTCAGCCGTAAAGTCCAAGGAAGTATGTCAGTTCTGTTAATCTGCTACAAATGTGTTTAAGGTGTTTGTTTAGTGGGGCTTCCAAATCAAATCCTTTCTGTTGTGGTCTATAATAATTATTGCTCACTTTCAAAGAACTAAGTTCTGGTTGTCTATAGCACAGTCTTGGTCACCTAGGACTGGATAGAAACTCAGTCAAAATACCTAATTAAGAATATAATATAGGACATATTATCCCTGGGGTGGGAGAGGTGTCTATGTCAATAATGCTTTCTTTTTTTTTTTCATCTCCAATGGCGGGTTGGTTTACCCACCAACAGAGGTAAAATCACTTCCTCTGAGACAGAGATGACTGTTCTACCCTATACATCTAAATTGGAATTTCCATTAAAGTTCACTGAATACCCTTGTATAAGGGTATTTGTTGATTTGGGGTGTCAGTAGAGCAATGCTATATGGCAAGAAGCGATTTGTTTTCTTCCTGTCCTCCCTCCCTCCACCTATGAAATTGATCCCAGCTGAGGTGAGGCCCTTCTGACAAAGTAGCTATTAAAAAGTACCAATTATGTACAATGACGGGAGTAGAGCTATGCACATGTATTTATTTATAAAGTATTATGGTAGCAGATGGACATTGGGCCTCCACTCAATTACTCCCTTAATGCTAGAACAATTTGTTCTACTAACACGGCATTCTT